CAGAAAGCTTCCTTTGTTCTGCAGGTTTCCCCGTGGTCTGTCTGCAGGGCTGATCGGCATATTGCAAGTCTCTGAATATAGCTTGATTTAACATTTAATTCTCTTGCCCCCTCTGTACATTACCACCTGTATTAGAGTTCTATTGCTGCATACCAATCAACACAAATATAGCAGTGTGAAAAAATACAAGTATATCATCAGACAGTTCTGTAGGTCAGAAGCCCAGGCTGGTTTGATTGGTTTCTCTGCTTAAGGTCTCATGAAATCAAAGTCTCGGTGTCACTCATTAAGTGAAGACTCAGAGAAACTTCTTCCAAGCTCTTTAAGGTTATTGGCAAGCCTAGTTTCTTAAGACTGTATGACTGAGTTCCCTATTTTCTTGCTGTCTCAGCTGAGGCCACTCTGAGCTCCTAGGACTGCCCCCATACTTATTTAGGTGCACCCCTCCATCTTCCAAGCAGCAATGGTGCATCATGATCATGGAGGCAGGGATGTAGATTATGTATGGGTCACAAACATGAACTTGCACTCACCAAGACTGATTTTGATATACACACTGCTGACTGCTCAATCAGCCAGCAGCAGAGACCAGCAGTGAGCACCCAATATGGCACATATCCCAGAGTGGTCAGTCAGCTAGCAAGTGGCTGGTTGATTATTTTGGTCTGTTTCCATTGGGGAAAGGCAGCTTCTGTTTGTACTCAAATAGACATTTATTCTGGATATGTATCTTCCTCTCCAACTTTCTTAAAACCAATATTTGTGGACTTGGAAAATTACTTATCTACTATCATGGTATTCCACACAGCATCACTTATAAACAAGGAACTTATCCTCAGGGCACATGCTCATGGAATTTACTGGTTTTATTATCTACCCCATCATCCTGAAGTGGTAGTTTCAAAGAAACAATTGAGTGATCTTTTGAAGCCACAGTTGTGGTTCTAACTGGGCAGCAGTACCTTGTGGGGCTGAGGCAGTATAACTTAGGAGGTGGCAATGCTCTGTCTCCACATCCAGGATATGGAGCTGATTCACACCTTCATTAATGAAGGGTGGCAATGTGAAGTCTTCCTCTCACTATTACTTCTAGGTATCATGTAGCAAAATTTTGTTTCATTTCTCCACAACTTTAGACTCTACTGTATTTGAAGTCTTCATTCTAAAGGAGAACTATTTTCAACAAGAGCCCTAAGAATGACTAAACTGGAAGGAGATACTGCCAACTGGTCACATTGGGATGCTCATCTTTCTCAATCAACAGGCAAAAATGGAGTTCCTGTACAGTTGGGGAGATGGAACCTAACTGTCAAAGGAAACTGAGTTACAACTATACAAGACACTAAGGAGGAATATGTCTGAAATGTTTGGAGCTTTTCTAGTATTTTCATGTTTTGTGATTAAAATCAAAGTTAAAATTATAACAATTCAATTTAGGCAGGACAGCTAATGGTTCAGATTGATCTAAATAAGGTTTGAATCATGCCCCCAGGCTAGGCAATTTAGGTGTCGTCTTAGGCAAAAAGAGTAAGAAATGGGTAGTATAGAAGATAGTTATAAATGCCAGCTAGAACCCTGTGACCTGCTACAGAACTAGGGCTACAGTGTAACCTGATTGTAGCTGAACCCCTTATCATTTTAATGCCCCTAGTATTTTTGGCAGCTAGAATTTAGTAATTTAATTCTTAATTAGGCCTTTGTTCACATGTTAACTACTATTCATGCTCAAGTCTTTTTGTCCTCACAGTATAATTCTGAGTTGCTGATATGCTGTTTCTTTGTCAAGCTGGAGGCGATAACTTCAGGGTCTTGAGGAGAATTTGAGTTTGTTTTGCAGAAGGAAAGAATGTCTCCAAGGTAGCTGCAACCAGCTGTTGGCGCCCAGGAGTCTGGTGTGAAAAAATGTTATCTATAACTAAAGAAACAAAGACTTCTCTCCCAGTTCTGTAGAATACCCCCCTCCCCTTCTTCCCCTTTAAAACTCTTCTGTTTGGTCCAGAACTTCAGAGATGGTCTTTGGACATTAGTCCGCAGTCTTCCCAAACTGCTAGCTTCCTGAATAAAGCAAACTTTCCTTTCTACCCAACACTTGTCTCTTAAGTGTTGGCTTTTGAGTGGCCAGCAGCTAAACTTGTGTGTGTGTGTTTTTTTCATAACACGATGAGTTAATAATATTCCCTTGTTAGATAGCTAGTCAGATATGAGCAACAGGGGAACAAAGGAATAGGGTCCCAACCTAGAGGTCACCCAAAAAACACCCTATTGGTAGTTAGAGAATCCCTCCTGCATCCCCAGAGACAAAGGACAGGACAGCCATAATCTTACCTGGTCTAATCTGGCCACAGACACCTGTGCAGAAGGTACTACCCTAACCTGCCCACAACTTCAGCCTCATTATACTGTTGTTATAATACAATTTTTATGCCCAGAAGTTCATGAATCTAATTATAGCAGACTGAATTCAGGGTAAAGCTCATGTGCATTAGGCAAAGTGTTTTATACAGCAGCCAAGTGTCAATCTAAATTACCTCACATGCCAATCACCCAGGAATGACTTATTAATCACTCATCACAGTCCAAATATAATTCAGTCATTCCCACTGCTGGGTTGTTACAGGTCTCTTCACTAAAACTATGTTCCTCCTTGGAGTGTGCTTTGTCTTTCTAAAATATACTTTTAATAAATCTTTTCTAAATTTCACTGACCTGTGATTCTTCACTGTGTCAATGAGGAAGGACTGAGGAAAAATGTTAATTACACTTCTGTGCCATTATACCACCCCTGCCATTGGGGCGACACAGAAATTCAAATTGCCCCAAAGGTAACACACCCACTTCAGGTAGGAAAACAAGCAAGCAAACAAACAATCCTTTCAGATGTATCATTAGGGCAAATGCAGACCTTTAACTAACAGAAATTTATAACATTAAAGTTTCATTGCTTTTTCTTAGCCTCTGACACACAATTTTCTTAACTAACACATGATAGGAAGCTTCAATAATATCCTGTTCCATTCTACAACACAGCAATCGATTCTTGTTTCTCATTGGTTGTTTTGATAATAGAATTATGTATTTAGGATCTGATTATCCGTTGAAAACTGGTCAGAATATATTTCTTCTAGTATCTTCTCAAGGTACTGAATTAAGTGTCTTCTTTTAAATCTAAAAATAAAGAGACAAGTCATTAGCCAAAAGATATATATAAAGCAATGATGCAGGAGGCACTATAGTAAATGGAAAGAGGAGCTTCCAATTTACATGGGAATAGAAAATGTATCTTCAGGGTAAGAGACAATTTGGCAAATATAAAGTGTGTTGACTCAGGGTCAACAACCACCTCAACCTCTGGTCTGAACAGAAATCTCCTTGAGCTTGAAAAAATGAGACTCAAATATTATCAACCTAAATAATTGTGGCAACAACATTAACTCTGAGTGAGGACAAGGGCTTGAGAAAAGCAAGTCAAGGCCTGTACCCACCCCTCACCCTAGGACTGCATAGGGCCCGGCTATTAAAAATTGGAGACATCCTCTTTACACTCACCTTGCTGCTTCCTTGATGGCAAATTCAACCATTTCTTTCCTTGCTTTTAGAGGACTTTGCACTCCTTCAAGCAATTTGAAGATTCCTTCATATTCTGAAGATATTTTTAAAAATAAAACTTATTATGTCTCAAATATGAAGAGGAAATAAACTCGATTTTGATGTATCCACTACCTCAGTAATCACTCAAGGGCTAGAATGTTATATAGTGCATGTGTTTTAAATGTTTAAATCAAGAAACCTGAACATATCTACCAATGTAACTCTTGTACATAATCAAGTAAGAAAAAAAGGGGGAAGGTGTATATTGTGACGTTTTAGTCAAAGAGGAATCATCTTAAATTATGTGGAAAACCTATTTCTGTTTACAGATGAGCCTCAAGAGGTAAATAGGTTGAATCTATCCTAAACCATAGAATGAGAAAGACTTTCCATGGTTTAATTGATAAAAATTGCTATACTACTTACTTCGTCCAAACTGTCGAATTTCCTTCCTTAATTGCTGTTTTATATCAACACTGGTTTCATTGGATCTTAATGGTATCTTTGTCGACATCATTTCCAACGCAGACATTGCTGTGACTTTTGGATCAACTGCAGAGAGATAGATGGCAATGATTCCTTCTCTAAGTGCATTACTACCAGGTTTGTAAATCAGCCCACCCTTGCTGAGACTAATTAAGTTATCAGACAGAGAATCTAATTGGTTTTGTGGAATACTATCTCCCATCATATTCATAAGCTCCAGTGGAACAGATTTTGATAAGAAGCCATCTGGTGGGGTTTAACTATTTTCTCCCACCTTCTCATAAATATTGTGAATGTTGGGAGCCTCTGGAAACCAATTTAGAGGTTGAGCTGCAATTAGGGGTGTTACATCAACCCCACAGGAACATCCATGTTCTCCTCAGTGTCAATTATTTTTTTTTATTTCATAGTAGGAGGATATGTCAGAGAGAAATCTCAGGCCTGACAAACTCTAACAGAGAAGTCAAATAGTAAGTGCAAAACAAATAAAATAATTACAATTTGAATGTATGTTAGGAAAGAAGTAAGCAGGGATTAACAGGGATAGGAGGAGCCTCAATGGACAGGGTGGTCAGGCAGGGTTTTTTGAAGAGGTGTCCTTGGGGCAGATACTGGAGGAGGAGAAAGAGCTAGCCCTGTGCACATGCAGAGGAAGAGTTCCAGGCTGCATTAAGGACAAGCATGGAAACCTAAAAGGGTCTCAGCCGGAACCATAGAATAAAGGATAGAGGCAGAGAGAATGAGGAGAAGTCATAGGACATGTGTTAGGAGAGGATGGCAAGGCCAGGTCGTGCAGAGCTTGAGGCTAGAGTTGGGAGTTCAGATTCTGTTGTGAGTATATAGGAAAGTTGATAATGGGTTTTCAGGATGGACTTGGCATGACCTGATTTCCATGTTGACATGATCCCTCTGGCTGCAGGATAGAAAATGGGTTAGAGAGGGACAATTCTGAAAGCAGAGATATGAGCTTAAAAGATATTGTAGTAGCTTGGTGAGCAATTCAGCAGTATGGATTAGAGGGATAGAGTAATGGTGGAATTCAGGAATGATTGTGGTATTTAGAGGAGAGGGGGAAAAAACAGAAAAAAAATAATGAAATGTCACCAATAAGGAGAAGAAAACCAGTAGACTGTGGAGTATGAGAATCCAAGAAAGTTTTCATGAAGGAGAGAATGAACAACTGTGTCAAACGTGGCTGAGAAATTAATGGCAGTGTCAGCCAAAACTGATCACCTTGATGAGAATAGCTCCAATGGACTAGAGGAGGCAGAAGCCAGACTGTACTGGGTAAGATCATGAGGGGAGGACAGATATTCTTACCATCCTCCACTGACATGGCTGAGGCCCCAACGTGGAATTCTTCCTCTTTCATTGACAGCACAGCCATGCTCTCGCTTCTCTTAGATGAAGGTGGACTCTTTTGTTCTCTATGACGTTTCATTTTGTTTTTAGGCTCTACAGCAAACTCTTCTCCATTAGTCATCATTTCTTGAGAAACATCAATAAACAAATTCCATTAATGACAAAAATGCAACCATTATAAAATTGCATTCTACTTGTGTATACATAATATGCATTTTCATCATTAATATGAGTTTTAATCATGAGCCAAGGTTTACCATGACCCAACAAACACCATTCTCAAAAAAAATCAACCTAATTTTAATCAAGTAGAAGTGAAAAAAGAAGGAAGATAGCATATAAGTGTAGTCCAAAGCCAAACATAGTACATGATTATTCAGAATGCTTGCAGAATTGGTGAATCTCATCAGCTAAAAATTAATAAACACATGATTACCTTTTTGAGGGAATATAAACCATTCCATGTCAATCCTTATTAAGAGAAATGATTCCTTTTCTTAGGCTTATTTAAATTACACTCATCATTAACAAATACTGACTAGCACTTTACAGAATGCTACTTGTAGATAGTGAAGGTCAGAGTATTTAGACATCTTTAATCTGCCTGCTTCCAATCCCACAGAGGTTCACTTATGTCACTCCAG